ATAAAAAATCTACATCCTGTTCTCCTCGACAACTTCGACAACTTGATTTCATCGCGCAATTCAGCACTGACATCAGACATATTAATGGAGCCGACAATACTGTAGCTGACACTCTCTCTCGAATCAACAACATCCAACTACCTTCTTCCTTAGACTTCACCGCAATAGCACAGGAACAAAACAACGATGAAGAGCTTAAAAAACTACAATCTACCCAACAATCTTCCTTACAGCTACAACCTCTCACTCTCAATTCCAAACTACAAATCATGTGTGATACGTCAAATAATAGAATACGACCATATATTCCGATTAACTTTCGCCGTGAAGTCTTCAATTCCGTCCACAATCTCTCCCACCCAGGCACTCGTGCAACCCGGAAACTAATTCAGGAACGCTTTGTATGGCCAGCCATGCTCAAAGATACCAATCAATGGTGCAGAACATGCATAACTTGTCAGCGGAATAAAATCAACCGCCACATTCGAAGCCCACTGCAACAGTTCGACCACGTACACATGGACATCGTGGGACCACTTCCACCTTCAGAAGAATTCGTGTACCTTCTTACGTGTGTCGACCGATTTACACGCTGGCCGGAAGCCACACCAATCCCGGACATAACGGCAGAAACGGTAGCAAAAACATTCATATCAACCTGGGTAGCTCGATTCGGAGTTCCTTCCATCATAACAACTGACCAGGGGCGACAGTTTCAGTCCCAACTCTTTATGTCACTCACTGCCCTCCTTGGAATCAAACGAATCCGCACAACCCCCTATCACCCATCATCAAATGGGCTGGTAGAGCGTTTTCACCGCACACTCAAACAAGCCCTACGATGCAGTGACAACAACCGCTGGACAGAAAGTCTCCCTACAGTTCTGCTCGGGCTCCGTTCCACGTTTAAACCCGACGTTGGGGGCACTTGCTCGGAAATGGTATATGGAACCACTCTACGTTTACCTGCCGACTTCATACAACCAACAAATAATAACTCCCTTGAGCCACCCATCTTTCTTCAGCGCCTCCGCAATATTATGAACAATTTTTCTCCAGTCCAAACGTCCGCACACGACAAAATTATCACCTTTCTACATCCCTCAATTATGGAATGCTCCCACGTATTCGTTAGAAACGATTCTGTAAAAAAACCCCTACAAGCTCCCTACGATGGCCCTTACCAAGTCCTTACACGATCCAATAAACATTTCACCGTACTAATAAAAGGCAGAGAAGCTGTCATCAGCATAGATCGACTCAAACCAGCATTCATCGATACAACTGCAAACGATACATCCACTCCACCGGTCAACAACACAAGCAATCCTGTCACACCGACGCAAGCACCAACCACCACGACCCGGTCAGGACGTCACGTCCGATTCAACCCCCGGTACCTCTGATCCCTATATCGTTGTCACTGGGGGGGAGCACTGTGGCGCCCGTCGGCTACGGGCCGATTCTGGCGATAGAGGGCGCAAGAAAAATAAACGTGAACTTTGAACTGGTCACTCACTCCCGACCAACAGCCACTGGATACGGACGCTACCAAAACGACTTAAAATCTTCGATCGATGTCGGGCCGTAATATTGTACATTACTGTATATATATATATATTGTCAAATAAAGAAAGGGATACAAAAAATCGACTGGACGTTTGACTGGACCTCAATGCTGCACATTACACAACAGATACAATTTCTATGCTATAAAAATATTGAGTGGAGTCAGTTATATCAGCAAAGAGAACACCATTTTATATAAAACATTTTATCTTTTATGTTAATTATTTCACTATAACACCACAAATACAGTAGTCCAACATTTAATTGAACAAGAAATATACACTGACACACATTTTCAATCCTAATCGGATCTTCTTTGGGTCAAAATGTTCTCGTGGAACACTTATAAAAACAAGATACAAAATTTAAACTTGTAAAAGTGTAGAAAATTTTACAAAGGACAATATTAATATAATTTTACATTAGGATGATAATATCCTTTGTATAATTTTCTACACTTACATGTATATACATATATGTATATGTAAGGTAAAGGGTTCTATAGTGTTCAACATCCTAGAAAAATATCAATAAATGTACATTTAGTTACTAAGACCATTTTTATCATCCTCTCCCAACACAATCTCACCAATCTCCATCCATTTAAGCCTAAGTAATACCAGGCAAATACAATTATTCTTCACATCTTTAAAAAAATACTGTACAAAGTACAACCAGTGCCGAGCACACACATCTAGTTGATCGTAAAACACTCATTATAATCTGTATATGTAATTGTATATATAAAATTTTTATATATATATATATACAGTAGACCCCCCTATAATGTGGTAGATACGTTCCACTTTATAAGAATTTTGCATTGTAGGAATCCTTAAATACATGAGCCAATCACAGCCCGGCACGTGTGCAGTTTATGGACTACGGCTGTTTGAAAGGTTTTCTTCCATAAAATTAATTGATTCTAGACTAATTTGACTTAACATTTCCAAAACACGTATAATTTTTTGGGAAGAATCTGTATAAACTATGCTATAAACAAAAAATTGTAGATTACTTACCGAGTGTGCACCGTTCAATGACGCCATTGCTTAAGCTTGTTTTCGTCGCGGAGCGGCGCATCGAACGGTGGGCACGTTTTCTGATAAGTTATTTTTCTGCAAAAAATTCACTGAACTTTGGCAACATCATTAATAGAAATAATTTTTATGGCCGTTGAATAAGAAATGTTTTTTCACAAGAAATGTATAAAATTACAGTACTGTATTAGACTTACAGTAACTAATTTATATACTGTACAGACGATAGTAAACTCAACTTACCCGCCTAAACTCTTCATAGCGTGTAAGTAGTTTGCCTGCTCATCCACTATTGGTCCAGATTCAACCAATCCTGTTGCGACACGAGTCGGCGATGATGTTTTACAGCAATGACAGTCTCTTTTAGCATCTTTATATGAATACAGTCGCAATTTTTTTGCCGTGATATACGAATCTGCATTATATGAACCCACATTATAGGGGGATTGACTATATATATAATAATTTTAAGAGGGAGACTCAATCTGTGTTTAATGATTAAAATTGGTTTGTCATATATATTACTGCTGTACTACCATCCAATGCCATTTGAAAGTTTCTCTCTTCATTAAATATAGTGATAAGATAATTTTTAAGACAAAAAGTTATTCTTGAGAAGTAAAAATAAATATAGATATCTATGTTCACTCTTACAGCTGTTTTTCATCTCTGTTTGCAAATGTATTTTTAAAGAATGTTTTAAAGGGTTTCTTTTAAATGGAATTTTTATCATTTAAACAACAGAAAAGTACGATGGTAAGCAGGATAGTTTACAGCAAGGATGGGCAACCTTTTTCTATGTAAGGGCCACATTTCAAAACTTTTAAACTGATGCAGGCCTCAAACAAGAGAAAAGAGAAAAAAAAAATGCTGGTAAATCACAATTATTTATTCATATATAATTATAAATTAGCATAGGGCTACTTAATTTAGCTTCTGGAACTGATGTAAATGTAACATATTGGAAATATTTGGTTAAATATTGGTCACTGCTAGATTTAAATTAGTTTTGATGTGTCTGTTAGTTGGTTTCTTGTTTTAATTTTTAGTAGATTCATTGCAGAAAAATTATTCACATAAATAAGTTGTAAAAAATAACATTTGAACTTTTGATGCATACTTCCTTAAGCTGGGAAATTGATACATTTATTCATATTTTATGTGACACGGGCCACAAAAAATATTAATGCAGGTTGCATGCGGCCCGAGGGCCATGGGTTGCCCATCCCTGATTTACAGTATCATAGAAAGGCTGGAAATTGTAAGACAGTTGCTAGATGTCTAGGAAATGGGTGAAAGAGAATTAAAGTGACAGATAACAAAAAAGAGTCATTGGAAAGAGATGCAATTTGAAAAGTTATACAGCCACTAAGAAAACTTAAGAAAGTCGTTAAAAATTTAACTAGTTCAACAAAATGTCTTTTGGAAGAGAAATTCAGCCATGAAATATACAAAAAAAATCTCAAATTGCAAAGAATTCTGCTGCAAAAAATGTGTGAAGGTGATTTGATCCACAAGTAAAATTTAAACACTATGCAAAATTTTCTCAGAAAATGTTGATTTGGGTAACAATCAGTCCAAAAGGAAGATGTCAAGTATTAATAGCACCCTTTCATCTTTGCATCAACAAAGAAGTATACGTGAAGAAGTGTAGGAAGAAGGGGCTGATCTCATTCCTCAATAAACACCACTCAGATAGCCTGTATATCTTTTGACTGGACCTCAATGCTGCACATTACACAACAGATACAATTTCTATGCTATAGAAATATTGAGTGGAGTCAGTTATATCAGCAAAGAGAACAACATTGCAAATACTCAGCTACATCCAATTGAATAATCCTGGTATCATATTAAACAGAGAGTGTACAAAAATGGATGGTCTACTGAAAATTAAGTGGAACTGAAACAGCACGTCAACTCCAAACTCTGCCAAGTTAATTCAGAGCAATTTTGAACTCTAATGGCTGGCATTGAGTCTAACATTAGAAGAACTGCTTGCTTCTGATCAGATTCCATAATTTAGAGACAGGAGAAACTAATTTTGTTACTTTTGTGTTCCCAGATAATCATATTCTAAAAATAAAGGAGTTTGATTTTTGTGAAAATTTTTTGTTTACACACCCTTAACTTTTTATAATTTACAATTATTATAAAATTATTATCCATTAGTATTTAACATCATAACAAAGTATGCACAAATCAGTGAAAGTTTTATATCTGTTTTCAAACTCTTCATAAATATCTGTAGTAAAGTAGATTGTATTAATAAATAAATGAAGTATGAAGTAATAATATGAAGTAAAATAAATGTCTAACATAAATTATTAAAATTGAAATCTCTAATACTTTATACAAATATCTTGAGCATATTTTTATATTTAATTTTAGGTTTGTATGTAAAAAATGGACAAGCTGTTTAAAGGAATTGTCAAGTCGAATAATCCCCAAGTATTAAAGCAGCAGCTCATAGAATGTTTATTGATTCGCACATGTCATCAGAGTATTCCTCCAAGAGATTGTTTTCACTTATTGAAGTATGCCTGGGAAACTGCCCTTTATGGTGAAACAGAATTTATCAGAAATTGTGGATTGAAGGTAAGTGTAATAGCCTATTTAACAAGTTATGTTTCCAAAAAATGTTTGCAAGTAGAAGATGGTGCAAATTTTAGAATCGTAAGAATCACCCTTTTCATGCTACAAAATCACATTCTACCATGTGATTTTATGTTCCTGTAGTACAGCTTTCCTTTATAGATGCCTACACTTAAATATTTAATGTTATTAAAAGTCTTTCTGGTGTTAGTATAATTTAAATTTTCTGATACCTGATGGTCTGGGCCTCTTAATTGGGGCAGAAGTACAGAAAGATAATTATAATTTCCAGAATAGTTTATGGAATGGTCACAGATGGTGACAATATCATCTGTATGTGGCATGCATTCACTTGGATTGACTCTGATGCATTTATTTGTGATTGTATTTTGTTTGACTTTCAGGGACAGTTAGGATTAAGAGATGAAAAAGATGCGTCATTGGTATCAAGCATAAATACTAGTCTGTATTTAATAAATGCTTGATTCAAGTTCATGCAAGTGAGTGAGTGAATTAATGCATGAGGTCAATATAGCTTTATAGCATAACAAGAATTATTTTGAATTATTATGTATATTAAATTTTATTGTCAGAAATTTAAATATTCAATACATTACATTTTTAACTAATACAATAAAGTAAAAATAATATATTAATGAGGAAAAAATAAGTAAGTTGTACTATATTTTTTTTATTATTTAAATAAATATTTTAAAATATAAGCATAAATAAAAATCAACTTATTATGTTTGTCAAGTCAATGTTGACTTATATCTAAATGCTGTTTGGTCATTTGTCATGTTATATCTCTGAATCTTGCCAGTTGCTACTGTTAGGGTGTTACTCCATCTTGTAATAGATTGACCCTTTTGCATTGATACATCATCCAAGCATTATGTCTCTTCCTAATTATGATTTAAAGAAAATAATTATCTGACAAATTTTAAATTATTCCTTTTCAAATTTTATACTTATGTGATTTTGAATTAAAAGGTCATTAGCATGTTTTGCATGATGTGTGATGCATTAACTTCTTAGTCAAGTAAGTAATTGCTAATTACATCATCCAAATAATCTTTACATTCAGTTAAAATTATGGTATAATCATAAATAACAGTGTTGATTGTCAGAAAAACTTAAAAATTATAATGTCTGCAAGCTGTTAGTAAAGCAAATTTATTATAAAACAACATAATTACAGTCTAATTTTGGTAAATTTACTTTCAGGTTTATGAATCCTGGTCATCTAATAACAAAGATGCTCTAATTGAACTGTTTAATAGTCTAAATCTTAACCAATATTTTGAGGATGTGGCTCTTCACCATAAAGATATGTAAGCTAATTTTAATATAACTTTATTGAATAATGTAAAAAATAGAATTTATTCGTTTAGAGAAATTAAAATTATCGTTATCGTTCTGCGTTTTCTATTATTAATTACTGTTTTGTACTTTATGTTATCAAAGAAATTAAAATTTGTTGTGATAGTGAAAAGTCGAAAGAATTTTTAGAGAGAAAAAGTACAGAAGTAGATTTGTTCAAATTTTAATTAGTTATTAAGATTAAAATTGAGAGAAATTAAACTTTTTAAATAATTAATTTAAAAAGTTTGTTAATTAAGAGAGATTTATGAAGAAAATTACTTTTTATTAAAAATTCAATAGAAAATTTTTTTTTACAGTAAAGTAATATATATATAAGCATAATCTGTAAATATACTCACTGCAATGATGATTTGAATTTTTGATTTCTGAAGTTATCTAATAATTTTAGAAGTTATTTTTTTTCTCATTAATTTAGGGATGTTTTTTAGCTGAGCTGTACATTATTTAAAATTATCTAAATAAATGAATTAGAAAAAGAACAGTTTGTATCAATAATTAATCACATTTTCCATTTAAAAAATGAGATAACCACTGTCTGTTGGGATTAAACGATTTTTATTACTTATAATATCATCACATGATGTTCCTAAATTACGTCTTTGCCTGAAGATGGCATTTATAAAATGTTGAAATTACTTACAATGATATAAATAATAAAAATTATTTAATGTCAATAGACAGTTTATAATCCCTAGTTATTAATATTTTTGTGTGTATGTAAACATTCCGCTTTGCAGATATTAAAATATCCTTTTTCGTGCTCATTTGGCTAGGATGGCCAGAGACAGAATGGACATAGAGAAGTAGCTAGTAGTGAGAGATGGAAGTCAAATGTGTGACAAACTGTCCATGGAAATTTTGTTTCTGGCTTTTTAATTTTGGCTGCTTCTACCCTACGGGTACTAAGAGGATCTTTTTTTTTCCAGGCCTACAATGTTTGGTGAGGGATGAGGCCAATACATTTCTGATACATCAACTATGAAAAAATCCTGGGTTACTTCCAGGATTTGATTTGATTCCAGACACCAAATCAACACATTATTTTAAATTTATCATAATTATAATGTTACAAGTAAACTGCAAAAACAATGTTTATTAGTTGTGGAAATAAATAAAATTGTGTGTTTTGCTCCCTTTGAGGTTTATAAGAAATTTCCATGCTGATGAAAAGCTCATTGCATCCTTATGATTAATACATGTGCTCTTAATGATATTTTTGTATATGGCTATTTTTTCTAGAGTTTTTGAAGTGTGTTGGTTCCTGGAAGTTTTAATGAGTTTTGCATTGTAAAATTATGTGTATTAAAGTTAGAATACAATTTTTAAAATTTTTATTTTTTGGGCTGCAATTTGAAAAAATGTAGACCTACAAATTTCCTCTGTTTGTCTGTCTTTCCTTAATCTTGAGAACAGTATTAGATAAATGAAATTCAAGACCAAATATGGAAAGCTTAGGAACAGGAGGCCCCAATTAACTATATATGTACTTCTGATGCAAACCAGAATTCATGTTATTTCAATTCAAAAATTTCTCCCTGAAAGGTGTTAGACAGATGATAGGCATGACACCTTTGCTAATGGAAAAGTAAGATGTGTAGGGTCAAGACACTATAGTACTAATTTGAGATGGAGAACATACTGTATATTTTAAATTAAATACATTAAAAATTGCAGCATGGCATTGTGATGCTGTCACAATAAATAATTACTTGTTGTGTTTTATAATTCTTTAATATCAGAAAATTTAAGGAAAACTGATGATGATGTGTTAATTTGAATATTATTTATTGGGCTGAAAGTTTCCTACTATAAATTCCTGCTGTCATCCATTTGTCTGCCCTTCATTAATCTCAAGAATGGAGTTAGATGAATATCAAGATTGGATGTGAAAGCTTAGGGGCCAGAGGCCCTGATTATCTATATACTGTACAAACTTCTGGTCTGGACCAGAAGTCATGTGATTGCAATTCAAAATTTTTTGCCTTGCTGTATAGAGCAATAAATTTGGTATACAATTGATCTTTACAATAAAACTAATTAAACAATAATTGACAGAAATTAAGATAAATGAATGAATTTTACTTAAGTTTTGTCTTTTTCAGGTTACTTAAACTTATAAAAATTTCTCTAGAGGAACTTCAGGATTCGACAATATTTTCCAAACTGTGCATTGCACTTCAAAACAATTGCAATAACTGTTTGAAAGGGAGCAGTAACATTGAGATATTGAAATCTTTGATTGCTTTATTTAAAACGTTTCCTCAGTGTATGCCTAGTGGATCATCGGGTGATAATCTTCTGGAATCCATCATTCGATATATTGCGTATCTGCAGGTTATCAATGACTACAGCATAATACAATTTATCATAGATATTGATGCTATTTCTGCTTTCCTACCAGTAAGTACTTGATTACATTTGATGATTATGCTAATAAATATATTAATGATAGTAAAACATAGTTTTCTTTTACATTATTTGTAAGATTTTATAATAATAATTGTATATTTATAATACTAACTGTTCTTAATTTTATAAGTTATAGAATATGTTGTAGTTTAAACCTCTCTTAAGGCCTACCAGTGGCCAAGCGGTCTTCGTACTCTGAACACTGGGAGTTCGGTTATAGGTTCGCTCCGCACTCAGATGGGCTAGCTACATGTAGTTTTCCAGGTTTTCTCCACGTCTGTAATGCCTAAATAGGGGCCAGTTTCCCTTTAAAAGACCTCCCAGAAGGCATCCTTCCTAGGCAGATCGCCTAAGTGTTGCATTGCCATAACTTAACAAACAAATAAATAACAAACATTAAACATCTCTTGCTAATCTAAACCTATGTTTTTAATATAATCATTAGTAGACAAGGAGTATGAGTCAGTGTGTGATCTAAAATTGTTACTTATGATAGACATTTCTGCACTTTCTTGTTAATTTTTAACTTAAATTTAATGCTATCTTTGAGAAGTAAAACTCAAATTTTACTAGAATTTATTTAATTCTCTGTTAATGTATTGTATTTTTGAATAAATTCTGGATATTCTTTAAGAATTAGTGAACTTTTTAAGTTGTTTACAAGTTTGCTAATTCTTAAATTTTTAATTCTTTAATGCAACATTAATGAATTTAAAAACTAGTCATGTTGTCTGAAGGGATGGGGCAAGAAAGAAACTAAAACTTTATTTTAATAGAGATCATTCATTTAATGATAGGTTTTAATCATTCATATATAATTCAAAGGTAATAGAATTGATGATAACTATATTAAACAGTTATTTAATTTATTGTATTTAAAATCATTGTGTTTTATTTCAGAGTATTTGGAAAAATAGTGAAACATCCATTAACAAAACATTTAACACAATTTCAATGTTGTTATCATCCAATGCTAACTGCTCACCAGCTCTAGCTTCTGTTATTGATGTAAGTTTGATAATTATAAATATTTGTAATTAAAACATTATTTACCTTCTGCTTGTGTAATTACAAACATAAATATATATTATCTGTGTTTGAATTTAAATTTTCTATCTCTTTTTCTAAATGGTCATGTTTAAATGCAGTTCTGGTTTATTTTTAAACATTAATTATTTATGTGGTTATTTTTTTATATAGGTTTTGCCACTACATCTTGTCGATCACATTAAGAGTGTTGCTGGATGTTGGAAATCCATAGAAATTTTAAGAACTGCGGTGACTAGGATGATACATTGGTTGAGCTGGCCGACTGCTAAAAATATAGACAGGTGGATATTGACTGTATTAGTTGCATTGGCAGAAAGCAAAAAGTATCACACATTGATAGAGATATTTAATGCAACTATAGATATAGTAAGTTGTAATTATCAGTTTTGTATAATGAATAAATAATTTAGTAGAAATTATCCAATTGAATTCTATCATTATTAATATTAAGTTTTATTTTATTAAGGATTTAGATAACCATTTATTTCAGAAAAATATTTATTATTTTATAAGACTATAGGATATATACAGGGTGGCCTAAAAATCAGTTAATCGAGACATTTTTTTAAGCAATTAAAACCAGTTTCGAACAGCTGCAAGTTTTCAATTCAATAACATGCATCTGTTCCAAACTAAGTTTGAATTGTTCTCAAAATAGGTTGAAAATATATCTTGGTTAATTAATTTTTGTATTAAGCCTGTGTATAATATATTATGCTTTTAGTATGAAATTCTCATGTTAAAGGCAGTTACTATAAAAGAATTTTAAAAAAAACATCAAGTTTTTCACTTACTAGAAATCTGTAATAAAATTATTTTGTTCTGTCATCAGATTATATATTTATGATAGAATTAGGGTATGCCAATTATGAAAGTATCTTGTATCATATTATATAAATTCTTATTTATGTTGAGATTGATATCTGTTAATAGTATGTGTGTATTATTCTTTAAGGTTTTTACAAAATTTCAAGCAGCTATATCGAAAAGATCCCATTTCAGGATTTTGAAATTTATGCTTCTTTCTTATCAACATTCTCCAGCCATTTTTCATAAAGTAAGTTTTTCTTGAATTTTAAATAAATTAATAAAGTATTTTAAGATGTAAACTAGTATTAGCTAATATAATGAAAAATTTTATATTGTTAGCATTAATTATCAATTATTTTTATGTATGACTAAAGCTTACAAACTGATTGACAATGCTTATTATATAAACTAAATTACCATAAGAATCAGCTTCATTGTATTTACTAAATGACATGATTTGCCATCATTCTGCATGTTGGTTGATGTTTTCAACCAATGGTATTTAAAATTAAAAATATTGAGACAGATATTTTTACTTTTGTGATTTGTTGGTTTCAAAATTTTTGGGACTTTTGATGTCAATTTTAAAATTTTTAATGATTCATTATGTGGTTGGCCAGACAGCTTCATGGGAAGATGTTAGTATACTGCTGTGGAGTATGATTTCAAACACAGTCCATACATTTTATAATTTATTATGAGCAGTATAATTCCATCTGGAGATGGAAATGATGTTCTGACTGTAGTCCTCCTCATTGTGAGTTAGGGCCAAGTATAGTGGACATAATCATAATCATTTCTTTAAAACAGGGCTTAAAAAGTGGTGGATTTTTGTGAAAACGTGCTTCCTAAAAATGTATAAAAGTAAAATGATCATTTTAAGTAATAAGTCTATAAAAAAACACAAACTTGAGAAAATGATAGAAAATTCAAGTCAGTTAGTCACTTTTGAAATCTGATACATCAGTTTCATACTGTAGTTTACAAACAGAAAAACATTGTACTGTACTTGCAAACACAGTTATTCTACATTCTCCATGGTCAGACACAGATGATGTAAGGAAAGTAAATTGTTGAACTGTGAAAACAATCTCTCAACATCAACAGATATTAGAATAACATATTGGTTTTCACTAAAATCTCCAGGTTTTGTGACTGAAGAGACTCAAGAGTTATAATTTGAATATCCAGATTTTTGTTCTCAGAATATTCCAGTTTCTCTAAAACAAATCCATCCAACTAGTTTTTTGGCATGTTTAAAAATATCTCATTCTTCCTTAGTTATCTCTTTACATAGATGTAAAGATAATTGGCTTGATCATTTAATAAAAGTATTTTTCATTTCCAAAATGAAATTATTGGCCAAAGAAAATACTGCCCTAATTTCTTTACATATCCTGCTAAGGTATTGGGCAAAACAAGTGACATGTATCATCTAACTGTATAAAGTTACTTGTCCTGACTGATTGATTCATCATTCCCCAGAGCAAACCACTGAACCTAAAAAGGTAAAATTTGGTACACAGGGTACGTCATGAAAACGCACACTAAGAAGGGATTTTTTGAGATTCCCCCGTGGGGGAAAGGGAAAGGATTAAGGCTTAACCTGAAGAATGGCTTCTACTGTACTTTTTTAGATGCAATTTTTTGTTTTCAACTACTTTTAGTCTTCATTGAGTACTTAGGTGTATTAAATTGATAACATTTCAGACATTGTTATAAATATTCTTATATATTTTGATTTTTTATCCAAATGTTCGAACCATTTTGAATTTGAATTTCTTATTGCATATTGGTTCGATTATAGAATGAATGTAAATGTTTCAGAAAATTCATCAAATTGAAAACAGTTTGATTCTCAGGAATTCTCATCATCCTCAGTGGTATGTGTTATATAACAATTACTATGGTTGTTGAAATACTGAATATAAATGGGGTTGCTTGCAAAATCCGTGCGGGTGAAGTCACGGGTAACAGCTAGTATTTTGATACATCAGCTTCTTATTTGAACATGCACTTAGCACGTATGGTACCTGATCTGTTACAAGTAACCAAACCTTCTGTATGGAATGGCAGTTCCACAGTTTGGCACATGCATCATTGAAGGCTTGCATAACAGTTGTGGAATGTTTCTTTTCTAATTCACATACTTTTAACAGCATAAATTGTGCTTGCTCCCCTGTTAACAGATTAATGAAAATGTTCAGCATGGAGATTTTTAGCACATTTGTTGTTTCATACAAAATAGGAAGCAAGTCAATTTTTTTTGTTCCTGTATTTTTTGAAAGATATTTAGGCTGCACATAGCTTTTCCTTAGCATGCTTTGATCAGGGATTGAGTGCTTGGTATAATTTCTAGAAAGGTTTTGAATGATGAATAATTTACCTTTTTAAGAACAATTCCTAACTGTATTAAAGCTGTAGTCAGTTCATGTGAAAATTCATTCTTCTTACTTACATTGCAGAAGTTAATGATGCCAAAATAAAATTACAACTTTCAGTTCTTTCTTTTTCTGTTAAAAATATGTTTTTTTATTTAATGTGCTTCTCAATCCATGAACAGAGATGTTTTTCATCCAAATTTAGGGTGACATTACAAAGTTCACATATCAAAATACTATCCTTGGTTGTAATTTCTTTGTCTTTAAAATGATTTACTAACTCCTTCAGTTTTGGTTTTGTTATCTTTGGCAGTTTTTAAACCAGTATGCTGTCATGTCATCACAATATCCTTTCCTTACCTTCATGAACAATGGAATCATTATTATTTTACATTAGAGGATGGATTTAAATATAAAAAATATTTCATTAATTTACAAATTTAACTTCAGATTTATAAATAGAAAAAAAAAATACACAAAACGCCCAATTTAAGTGCAATAAAGGGGTAAACTATCAGAAATATGCTCAATGGTAAAAAAGGAGGAACCTAATACACCTTCAAATGTATGTAAACTTAATAAGAACCGTTGTATGATACATTGAAACAGAGCAAATAATGAAAAGGAAAAGCATCTCAACTTTCCAACTTTAATTATGACAAGCATTTCATTGCATAGCAGTTTTAAAGATATAAAGAATTTAAGATATTCCTCATAAAACAAAATGAAATAAACTTATCTTTGTGTTTTCTGTTTATTATTATTATGTTGTTCTTTAAGTTAAGCAGTGATTTATAATGAAAATAGCAATGATTTAAAATTTACTTTTCTCAAACAGATAGCTAAACAAATACCAGAAATACTAACACAAATAGAAGAAAAAAATAAGCACTTCACTGATGATATTATTGAAGAAATGGTTGAATTATTCCATACAGTTATGTATTTGCATGCTGGTTTTCCTGATTTATATAATCCTATTATAGAGAAATTACAGGTAAGATTTTTATTTTAATAATAATTGTCATTTTTTAATGTAACTAATTATAATAATAATTTATTTTAGAAATATAAAACTCCCTCTAAAGAAAAAATGAAGCAGCTTCTATCGGAATATAGATGGGAAAATCAAATTAAGTATAGCAAAATTTTATATCATATTAAAAAATTACTGTTGATTATACATTCTGAAAAATATTTAATTGGATTGGCTAAATAAGCAAGGATCTGACTAAATGGTTATCATTTTAAAAGATACAGCATGATCCAAAATCTTTTATTTTTCATAATTTGGGTAGCATAGATGACGGAGAGTGATGGCTCAGTCAGACATCATTTCCTATCCTTCATCTGCAATCTGTGTGATTCCATTGTAGATGGGAAAAACAAGTGACATGTATCATATTTTGATAGATTTGAACATCCACTTACATGTATGGTGCCTGATCTGTTACAAGTAACCAAATCTTCTGCATGGAATTCCATTGTAGGTGGGATCACACAGAATGCAGATGAAGAATCCAGGTCCAGAGCACAATAAGCTATGAGGCTAGCATAATTTCACTCATAATGAACAAAATTATTGTTGGTAATGTTTGTTATATGCTGGTGCTACATGTTGAAAATACAATTCAGTTATTTTGCATGAAAGTCAGAACCTTTTTTAAAGTTTCAATATTGTATTACCAAGAATATTTTTCAGAACATTGTTTTCTTAAATTCTGTGCACTGATATTTTTATTTTCTTTATAATAAATAAATTAAAATATTTTATTATATAAATTATGCATATATTTTTTTAAATTATTAAAACGTGATGAAACTTATTCTCTTGACATATGAAAAGCAGAGATCTTTTAAAATGACGTTTGAATATTTTTATTCATTATGCAGGCCTACAAAATTTAACATTTTGACTGGGGATTAGATTAAATATACTATGCTTATTTCAGAAATAAAATTTCCTTTTCTGTATCACAAGAATTTTTCACAAAGAAAAGTAATACAATTTGTTTAATTTTCTTAAAACAATACACAGTTCAAGAGCCATTGAATAATGATTAAATCTAACCAAAAATCACTAAATATATAAAAAAAACATTTCTTAGAAAATAATTTTTGCTTTGTGTAAATTTCTGTGGTTCATTATCTGTTTCAGGATTGCTATACATATCACCAGTTCACTGCAGTATAGCTTAACTTCTTATCCTGACAAAATATCTAATGATGTAGATGATGGTATGGGTAAATCAGGAACATATACAAGTCTGATAGCAGAGAGTGCTGTTGGATAGACAATATCCTTTGTTTTTGCTATTGTATCCACTATATTCAAACAAAAACAACATGCTTAATGACTCATTGGTTCCCACCATACCATTGGAATACCAAATAGAAGAGTTTTTCCTGCTTTGACTCCATTTTCTCAGTTGTTCAACATACACATGACAAACTTGTTGGATCCTTTACTTGTCTTGGTCTCCAAGCTTTGTACTTTTATATTGCGCTGCCTTTTTGGACTGCAATTTGAAAAAATTGTAGGCTTTAAATTCCCACTGTTGTCCATCCATCTGTCTTTCCTTAATCTTGAGAACAGAGTTAGATAGATAAAATCTGAGGTGGAATATGGAAACCTTATGGGGAGGAGGCCCTGATTAACAATATACAAACTTCTGATGGAAACCAGAAGTTACATTTAAATTCAAAACTTCCCCTGAAAGCAGTTAATAGATGACTGGCATAACTGTTGTTAAAGGAAAAGTATGATCTACAGGGGCAAGCCACAACTAATTTGAGGTGGAGAGCATATATTTTAAATTAAAAATTGCAGCCCAGCATTGTGACGATGTCACAATAAATAATAGCTCATCTAAACTAAAACAACTGCAATATATATAACAAAATAAATCTGGAGTTAACAGGAATGCTTGATATTGTAAATAACAACATAAAAATAAAAATAAGCAAAATATACTTCTATGTTATCATTTGAAACACAATTCCAAAAAGCATTTTCACAAAACAGTCATTGATATAGTAATGCCATTGTTTCCCTTTCCAATGTATTGTAGTGCCAACTATTATTTCACTTTCCAATACAGTAGAATATTTTGATATCTGCTTTGCATAGGAAACTGTGAAAAATTGCTGTGATATAGAAAAACAGAATATTTGTAATTCAAAAGTAATTATTAAAATTAACAGTTTACTGAATAATTAGTTATAATAATGTTGAAATATTACAAATAAATACACTTTGTTGCAAAAAATTGATGTGCCTTAAAACTGGCATATAACTAATCAAATTTGCATCTGGAATGGTAGTAAGAAAATGAAAATATTTAATTACAATATCACAGAACAAGAAGTTGTCTTTGAAGAATAGTTTCACCATAAATACTGCATATTAATAAGTTGTACAGTGCAGACTAAAGCCAAACTCTGATATTGGTCAGTTTGCATTAATTGCCAGACTGCTTTTGACATTTTTTGATTTGTAACATTGTACAGTCGACCCCCCCCCATAACACTGTTGATTTTTCCGTTTTATATGAATTCCGTGTTGTATGAGTCACTTAGATTTTACAAATACATGAGCTGTTTGCAGCCCGGCACACATATTTGTGAAATCTAAGTGACTCGTACAACACAGAATTCATATAAAACGGAAAAATCAACAGTGTTATAGGGGGTCGACTGTAATGAAATTGTAATTGTTTCATTACCATTCCATGTGCAGAATTTGATTACTGTTGCATATTGATTTTAAGGTGCATTTGATTCTTTTGCAACAGTGTGTATTTAAATTTGTGAAATTAACTTATATCTATTTTTAAAAAATTTAAGTATATTTTATGGAATTGCATTAATGTTAAGAATTTTTTAAATACATTTGCTTTAGGAAGAGAAATAAATCCGAAACTGGAATGGTAGGATTAGATAATATCGGAAATACGTGTTATCTGAATTGTATTCTTCAGGCATTATATATGACAGATTAGTAAGTTTTTATTTTATAATTTGAAAACCAACATTAGCATTTTATTAATGTGAAATTTATTCTTTGATTACTTTTAGTTTCAGATATTCAGTGTTAAAAGTGGCCCCAAAACCTCAGGAAACTATATTACTCAAATTACAAGAAGTGTTTGCTTATTTAAGTTTAACACAGGTATTGTAATGTTCTTAATATTTTTTGACACTAAAAAATATTAAGTTGCTCTTTGTTTGTGTATAAAGTTTAGTGCACTTTTTGAGATTTCTCTAAGAGCAATTTTGTGCAACTTATACTACATACAGAAAAGTTTTACAATGTTCTACACATTTGGTATTTGCCAATTGCTGAATAATTACCTTTTGCCAAAGTGTTTGTCATGTGGTGAGCACATATGTACACACACACAATTATTTGCTGAACATCAGTTTTTTGTGGGAATAACAAATGTTTGACAGAGATTTGTTCCCTTTTATTTGGCACATTATATTTACAAGGAGTGGGAAATGGTGAATACCAGACATTTGTCAAGTGAATCACAAGTAAATTGTACTTCACTTGTGATTCAAAAAGTACACTATGTGGCATTTGATGAATACCAAATGTGTGGAGTTTGCTTTACATACACATCAAATTTTTAGAATTACAAATTTGTTATGCAAACTTTGGTGTATAAAACTAATGTGTTTAATTGACATTAAAATATGAAAAATTTTGAATATTTTATAAAAATTTAAGTAGCGTAATTTTTGTTTTAAAAAACTTAAAGTGAAGATAATCCAATAGAAATTGCTATAAGATTAATAATAAAACCAATAGCATTGATCCTTCTTAGTAAACTAATGGACCATTTAGGAAAAGTAATGAATTCAAAATCTTGTACATATTAAAAAGGATGTCTTTGACAGTCTTCCATTCAATAAATCAATATAAATGTCAAACATAAATATAGTTTTTATATGTGCATTGAACTTGGTAGAGAACTTCAAAAATTTTTCAATACTTGTAATTATTTTTTTTGCTCTATTTCCTGTGGACACTAAGAGATTTCTTCCATGCTTTTCCTGGGTTCACCTAGACTTTTGATATGGAATGGGGCAGTCAGGTGTGAGGAATTGGGCCCAATACGTCCAGGATAAAACTACCTATGAAACATTCCTGGTGTCACTTGTCTGGATTTAATCCCAGGGCAACACACATTATTATAATTATTTCAACATAATAAGTCAATGTGTGTATATAATAAGGTTTTGGACAACATAATGTCCTATTTTACAGAATGTATTTTGTATATTAAGCAATGCATGATTGTATATTAAATACATTTTTAATTTTAAATAATTATGTTAAGATAATTTTGATTTAAATTTGAAAGATTGAAGTCTTTGCTTTAGTTTTATTAACTGAAAAAATGATTAAAATATATTAATTATTATATATTTTTTTTAAGAGACCATCTTTCTCTCCAAATCATTTTCTGGAAATATCAAGACCATCTTGGTTTAAAATGGGAGAACAGCAAGACTGTGCTGAATTTCTTCATTTTCTTTTTGATTTGCTTATTGAACAGAACAAATTTACTTGTCAGTCTCCGCAATCAAGTGAAAGTCAAGATAATTCACTAATTGAGGATGTGTTCAGTGGCGTTTCAGAAACAACATATATTTGTTCTTGTTGCAATAATTCATCAGTTCATTCCGAAAAGTTTACATCACTACATTTGGCAATTCCAGATGCAGAAGAAAATAAAGATTCTTCAGATGATAAAGATGAAGTCAGAATAGAACTTAGTGATCTGATATTAAATTATCTAAAGCCCGAAATTTTAGAAGGTGAAAATAAATATTTTTGTGATAACTGTAAAGAATTACACACAGGAAAAAAACAGTCAAAAATTAAAAAGTTTCCCACTTACCTTATAATAACACTTCTCAGATTTTCATACAATCCCGTTCTTCATAAAAAAACAAAAATTATCTCAATAGTTAATTATCCGTATGAACTGTTATGGCCTTTGGATGAAAATAATTGTAAAGTCTATCATTTGTATGCTGTTGTCATTCACTCAGGTACTTCAACAGAAAGAGGTCATTATTATACATATGCAAGACATTCGTCCTCAACTACTAATGTGCCAGTCCAAGAGCAGAAATGGTATCTATTCAACGACAGTCATGTGTTTTTAACATCTTACAATTCTCTTGAAACCTTAGCACAACGATTCCCAAAAGATACGGCCTATGTTTTATTTTATCAGGAAGCTCCCAATGAGAGAACCTATTGTATTACTGATGAGAATGTTAATAATTTCATTCATTCAGAGCTGAAAGAACTTATATTTAATGACAATATTAAATATTTAGAAGTAAGTTGAATTGTAAATATTTATTGAAAATAAATTCAAGGTTTTTAATTGTGTATTATTTTTAGGAACAAGAAGCAGAACGTTCCCTTGAACGAATGAAACATTCTCAAGATTATCTAATGCTGTCCAAAAGATTTCACAGGGATTTTGATGGTTCCCCTCCATCCGGAGGTTGCGGTAGTTCTGGATCAGATATGTCTTTTCCAAGATTTGTATATTAGAAATATTTATTTCAAGAATATTTGACACAATTATAAAAAAAAAACCAAAACAATATAAAGCTTAATTTAATAATTTATATGTAGATTTAATATTTGTTAAAACTAAAAGCAATGTAAATTAGTACATATATACTGTACATAGATTAGATCTTTAAATTATGGAGTCAAAATCCATCTGTATAAAATTACCATTTGTTGCTGAAATTTATAAATATTTCAAAATGACGTAATAATTTTAAAAGTAATAAAGTATTTTACACAATCAAAAAAGAAAAATTATAAATGTATATATATTTAATACATTTTTTTATAAATAAATTATGTTAGACAAGAACTCTGCTCAGTTCCATTAACTAAAATTATAATAGATTTAACATCTCGACTAATTTTAATATAGTAGATATTTTTATACGATATTTTTTATCAAACATCACGCTAAATATGAGGTGGGCGCTTGAATTGAGTGCAATCTTTAAATAAGTTATAAAATATTAATTAGGGATGCTACCAATAGCATTACTACAGTGTGATCATATAGACCAAAAACCAAACTTTGTATTAAGAATGGAAATCAATGAGATTTCAGGAATTGTGCCTGCATTTATGTTGAACATATTGATTGCTGAAAGTAATAATACAGGCATAAATTCGTCCCTTTTTCTTTAGAGAAACACTGAACACCATTGCAGATTTTCACAGAATTTGCTGAAAAACTTATGATGATGAACTGAGTATTACTTCCAGTAAGATGGAGTGACTTGCCATACATTACAGGAGTCAATGGTTACAATCCAGAGCATTTTTGAGGATCACGTCATCTCCAAGAATATCTGGCCGCCACAGTTTTACAAACTTCTTTTTTGTTGCGGCTATCTTAAGAAAAGAATGTAGCATAACTAACCCTGCACAGTTAGAGGATAATATTGAGAACTAGATCCAAAACATTGAGATACATCGTGTGGCTGACAGAAGGCAGTGGCTACTTCCAATACTTTCTGTGATATGATGTGTTGTTCAACATAAGTGGAGGTATGCTTACAGAGCACCTCATCAATTTTCATTAAATTAATTTGTTTAAGATTTATGATAAAAATGTGTGTTCAAGTCTATATGAATCATCCTGTATTACTTGCAGAAAGAGAATGAAATGGTATAATTTACAGCAAATTCAGAAATTGTATTTGGTGCAGCATGTTCTACAGTAGAAATATTTTAAAATGCTTCATTAGATAGAGATAAACTAGTATTGTATTTACACTAAGCTTCCAAACATCTCCGTTTATCTAAGATTTAACTCGTCTTTTATTTATAGATAAATTATTGTAAAGAATTTTTCAGTTTAATTTGATGATTGATTAGATTTAGAATCTTTTTTTTGAATAAAAAGAAATTGATTTCTGTAATTAGAATATGTAAATTGATATTTAAAATAAACAGGAAAGTTTGTACATTGGATTGAATACATTTGTTCTTTAAATGATTTCATTGGTTTCGTTTATTAGATTTGTAATAGCTTAATAATGCTTACGCAGTTTATTGATTTCATCATATATAAGAAAATATAGAGTGGACCAAAAGTCCGTTAATCATTTTAAAAATAACATGGAGCATGTTACAATGGTGGCAACCTTGAAAGAATGCATCAAACGACGTGAGAAGCATCACAGAGGATCCATCAAACACACTTCATTTGTCCTCAAAATAGACAACTTGCGTGTGACGTCAGGAATCCCGTTTTGCCGGCGCCATATTTGTGATGTTTCCGTTCTGTTTTAATCTCACGTGACAGGGTAACCAAACATTTAAACATTGAGTGGTTCACCTAACGAAGGGATACATTGTAATTAAATTTTAAAACAATAGAATTACAAAAGTTACCATACAACACTTAGAAATGATGCTATGCAATAGTCAATAAAACAAAAAACGTACAGTTGGTCGTTGTACTGAATAAAAATGTATTAAGAATATGGAGAAACATTAATATGCGTAAAATAAATGCATGGAAACTTTGTAAGCGCACTGGATATAATACAGAAGCAAATTTAAATGAAAATATATACACGACTCGCTAATCCGGCTATTTATTGCACAGAGGAATGCCGGATTGCCGAGAATAAAAAGGCAACGTATAGACAACCTGTCAAACTTTGATGCCGATTATTTTGGTTGGGGGCAAAAAATGACATGCAGTACCGTATACAGAAGTGAAACCTGAGGATATGTGACAGGACTAACATTTTCGTGGAAACTTACAAATGAGAAGTCGGATTATAGTGTATGCCGGATTACAGGACAATGTATTTGATATATTCATTCTATTAAAACTAATAATTTTCAATTTTGAAACAATTAAAATTTTTGTTCATAAGGTAGCAATAACATTTAGTAATTGTGACCCAAACATTTATTTGGTAATTTTATATATTTTTTTAAATTATTAAAACGTGATGAAACTTATTCTCTTGACATATGAAAAGCAGAGATCTTTTAAAATGACGTTTGAATATTTTTATTNAGTATAACACATCTTTAAATAAATAAAATATGCGTGCATAATTATTTATAAATACGTAGATTAATAAACTATTTTTAAAAATGAGGGCAATTATAAATTATATGTTCATTAATAAGTGGTGGTAGCGAAATTAATTTGAAATACATAGAATTATATGTGAAAGAGAGCTTGATTATTTTATTATATTAATTCCGAAACAGCAAGAGAATGAAACATTTTAAATTGCTTTATTACATAGTCAGCGGTAAAAATAATATCCTTAAAATAAAATACAGTAGAGCGTCGATTTTCCGAATCAATTGGGGACTGGGGTTGTCCGGATAACTGATATTTCGGATAACTGATTTACGTACGAAAAAATAGTTTAACGTATCCGATATCGAATTTTTTATCCGTTGCGTGTAGCTTCGCGTTGAATTTTCGTCGATGTTAAGCCTAACAAATACTATTGTATCGTTAAAAATTATTTTCTTATTTTGTACAAACAAAATAAATATATTGAAAATTATAAAAATAATAAAAAATTATACTTCAGATGCTAATTTAGTATCAAAAACGTAAAATATTTGAGTAGCCCAAGACATAGCCAAAGATTGAAGCGCCACAGCACTGGTGAAAATTTAAATTTGCCAACTGGAATTTTTTCGGATGATTGACTTTCGGAAAATCGACGCTCTACTGTACATAAATAAATAATTACATTCTTAGCCATTATGGCGCTGGTGTTTTCATGTAAAAAGTATAAATGAAATAAAAGTCCCAAAAATTGCATGTATAGGGTTTCAATTTTCAAATTGTAGACCTGTACATTCCCAGTGTCGTCCACCTGTCAGTTCTTCGTTAATCTCGAAAACGAAGTTACGCAAATGAAAATCGACACCTGATATGGAAAGCTTAAGAGCCGAAGTCCTGATTAATTATATACGAACTTTCGGTCTGGACCGGAAGTAACGTGATTTCAATTCAAAATTTTTACCTTACTGTATAGAGTAGTGGTTCCCGAAGTGGGTTCTACCGCCCTCCTGTGGGTGGCGAGCAAATCTATAGGGCGAAAAGAAGCAAGTGGGAGGCAGGGTACTGTTAAAGATACAGTACAGGTACCCCTTTCCTCTGTTAAACGGGTAAGAAGAAACATTACGTTTAATTGTTTCCAGATTTTGAGAATAGACGGGCGGATGCCGAGCGATCAAGGTGGCAACCTACAGCTCTGGGGGACCCCGGTTAATACTAACCGGTCGAAATAACCCCAGGAATTTTTCGGGAATGATCCGTCCGGATATTTCGGGCCCCGTCCCTCACCATTGTGGGCTTGCTAAAAAGAGGCCTTCTTAATGCCCACAGGGCAGAAAGAGTTAAAAAGAAAAAAAAACTTTGAGAACAATGTACGGTATAGGAATAAGTTTAGTTGTGGCAACTTGGGCGCTCCGCCTAGGGGGATGCCTTTTTAAAGGAAACTGGCCGCTATTTAGGCGTTACAGACGTGGAGAAAACCCGGAAAACTCCACGTGGCCAGCCCATCCGAGCCAGGCGGGAACCCACGACCGAACTCCCAGTGTCCATGTTCAGGGAACGAAGACCGCTTGGCCACCTGTGGGCCCGTAAGGGAACAAAGTGTGAGATTCATAGAAGAGTTTTCCTAAAAATATTTCCAAGCCTTTCTCACACGAAAAAATGGATTAGGGGGCGTTGGGATACGGTTCGGTATAACTTTATGGAACAAAGAGAGCGGTGCATCAGAAAAGTTCGGGAATCACTGGTATAGAGCAATAAATTTGGCATAGAATCGATCTTTACAATAAACTGTATAATATACACGTGATCCCAAATATTCTTTTTTTTTTAACTCTTTCCGCCCTGTGGGCACTAAGAGGGCCACATTTTGCAAGCCCATTATGGGTTCGTTTCAATTCCAGGACACGCAATAGATGTGTATTTTTACTCTGATAGTGAAAGAAATATATTTAAAATATGGAAAAAGATAATTTATTGTAAGAACAGTTTTTAGAATATAGTCCACTGTCACTAGACGGCAGTGGGAAAAAATCCGGGACATCTAGCAACTAATTAATGTAAACGATATAAATAAGATGGCGGAATCTCATCATAAAGTTATGGGTTTTTCGACTAGCAAAGATTCGATCTCGGGTCCCTCAGAGCAGTAGGATGCCATTTTAACCGCTCGGCCATTCAACCCGGTTAATTAAATAATGATAACAACAATACAACTGTTCCATTCTAACACTATAATTTTAAGAAATTTACATTTGTTTCCTCTATTAATTACATTTTTACTATTTTATAGCGAAAGGAAGGCTAAGGATTATAATGTATTAAATTCTAATAGAATCGAGGGCGAAATTAAACAAAGGAAATCGAGATGACAATCCAAAAATCATTTCTTCAAAATCCGATAATCCGAAGTGGATTCGATCTTAGATTCATTAACCTGCTTTTGCGGCTGTTTAGTTGAAATGTTTATGAAATTTTGGAGAATGGATTGTCCAGTTATGTCGGGTCTCGTTCCTGTAATGGCACTTCCTAAAAAGGCCATTAGAGAGTAAACAGTTTAAGGTGTACTGTACTTGTGTAGTTTACTCGCTTCTACTCCAAATTTTTATAGTACGATTTAAAATAAAAATACGTTGAAAGAGCAGCGGTTCGTTACTATACGGGCAAATTGCCTGGAATTAGGAGGCCCCAAACAAACTTTTTAAGAAAACATTAACCCCCAAAAAAATTAATCCGGAGTAAAATGTCTGAAGGCAACACTTTACTTGGAGGGTTTTAATTCAAATTCTCTTGGGTCCTATGAAGCTATTAGGAGACCATTTGGCGGTACAAAAATATGGGGGATATGTACTGTACACTCACAGGATCAGTAAATCCTCAATCGATATAAATACAGTCGACCCTCCATAACACTGTTGATAATTCCGTTTTATATGAATTCCGTGTTGTACGAATCACTTAGATTTTACACATACGTGTGCCGGGTTGTGAACGGCTCACGTATTTGTAAAATCTAAGTGACTCGTACAACACTGAATTCATATAAAACGGAATTATTAACAGTGTTATGGGGGGGTCGACTGTATACAGTTCCTACACAATTAGGAGCATTATACTTAAAACAACATAAATTTATGCAATTCTTAATTAATAAAANAGGGGGGAAAAAAGAAGAAAACAAGTATAATCCGTCTTGAACATTTCCCACGAAAAGTGCTGATGGTGAAGTCTGAGCCGATGCGTTTGCTATCTTTGATCCTCTTCTTCACTTGGTCTTCGGGTTTATGTCTTATTTAATTGGCTCCAACAATTGCTGAATAAGCGCAATTCGTCGGATACGACAAAATCTTTCTCTGCATAGACAACTCGAATTTCCTCTAACTGTTTTCTACCGATTATTAAAAAAATCAAAACATTTTTTTTTCATAATATTTAATTTAAACTTAGTAATAAAGTACTTATCTTACTTTCTTTATATATAGGCTATATTTATATCGAAATTGAATTTTATTTAAGAATTTTTCAATTTTATAAAGTAATTTTTCAAGATTAAGCGCTCTTTAACATTGATAAATCTGTTTAAACTATTTTAATTCCTTTCCTCCATTTCTTTACTTTTACTATTTTTTCTAATTAAACTCATATTAAAATTGATTTAAGAATATAAGGAGTTAAATTATAGTAGAACCTCCAATAACGGCCATTTTTTATATTCCAATGAGTGGACGTTGTTAAGAGGTTTGACTGTTTATAAAAATGCAAATTTC